GAAACAATGTCATGTGCTTTCAAAATAGGCTGGAAAAAGAAATCCACACTCACTCACACAGACATTGATACAATCACAAGACAGACAAAAGACAATTATGACTTCCCACGGGGGTATTGTGCAGCCAGATTGCCATTATGCAGATCTGGAGAGAGAGCACTGGAGACAGATAACATAAAGGTTTGAGTAAATATGCAAAAGTCAGAAAACACAAAAATATGTAAGATATCTTTACCTCACTTTGTCCTCCCTAAAACACTTAAAAATATGCCCTTGAGTTCTGTAAGAATAAAACTAATACATATATATATAGCAGTTATATATATAGCATATCTAGAGAGAGTTAATTTAATATGGGCAAATTTCAGCAAGGAGTTGTTTATGTACTTGCATCAAGTTGTTTGTATTAGGGTTTGAAGAAATTGCAAATGGAATGAAACTCTGCCATGCCCCAGAATGGAGAAGTGAGAAATCACCCTGTTTATTGTACTACTCCCCTGCCACATGTACATGTGTGCATTGCTCTTTTGAAATTTGCTGCCAAAAATGAAATTACTTTTAGAGAGAAGAGAAAGTCTAAAGAACACTCCCTTCACTGATTTAAAATAAAAGTTTTTTGCTGTTTACAAATGATACCACAGAGTGGTGTAAAGGTTGGGAATATATACTCCTTGCAGTAGTCCTGTTGATCAGCAGACAAAACTGAGATTGTTTTTAGACACTGAAGCCTGTAGGTTTAAATCCTGCTCAGCTGACTTACTTAAGTGATCTAGTTCAACCAAACCCACCACTGGAGGTATTCTAGTAAGATAAATGGAACAACTGGCAACTTCGGATTACTGATTTCCACTAACAACTCAAGTTAGGCAAGACATGAAATTGTAGCCTCTGCTGCTCCAGTTGTGAATCCCCTCTCTACACTAAATGAGATGGAGTTTGTCACTGCTTCACAGCCTTTCAGTACAAGGGCTATGCAGTCTGGTCTGGACTCTGCCATGGCCTTAATCTTGTTTCCACAGAGCATTATGAGTGTAAGATCATTTTCAATATAATGATCTGCTTCCTGCAGCATCTCCAGGTTTAATAGCCCTGTCCCTATGAGGCTGGTTTTTTTTTAACTTAATGCTTTCTGAATGTATTCAGAGTTCTGTTATATGAAAAGAATGAAGTTATACATGTTTCAGGCTGCAGGATGGAATAAGAATGAGCAAACTATAGAGAGGAAGAGGCAATGAAGGACTGAATGATATGGAGAGGAAAAAATTAACACAGCAGAGGTTCCTTGTGCAGCATTCTTCTACCTATGGTATAGTGTCAGGTCAGTTTTCTATTATTTCTGTACTCCACAGATTGCTCTCATATTACCCTGTACTTGGTAGAATTAATTCTCCAGCTGACCGGGCCCATTTTTAAAAAGGCCAGCAATTTCTATTAAATTTGTAGAAAAATGCCTTTAGTGCCAATGTAACAACCAGGCAGATTAAGTACTTTTATAAAGGATGGACTTGCCTTGCCTGTTTTGAAACATCCAACTCATGTCATGGTTCATCATCTAACTAGTGTATTTTGAAGCATCCAAGGATGCTGCTTAGCTGTAATTCCAAGTACAAAGATAGAGCATTTTAGAGGACTTACATATTCTACCAGCATTTCTCTTCAGTAAAAACATATTGCCTCAGTGCTTGAATAAGCTATATTATTTCATTTTGTACCACTTCAGACCAAAGATAAAAGGTGCAAAATAGTTGTAACCAACTATAGTGGGGAATACAGCACTCTTTTTTTATAATGATAATGATCACTGAAATTACAAGCATAAATCAAGAGACTAGGCTGTTACAACCATATTGGAAAAATATGTTTCCTGATATCTAGGTTAGTGGCTTCTGCAGAATAATTCCAATTAAAGAGTTCCTTATGTACATTTGTATTTACAATTAAATACATAAGCTTTCATTTTCATGCCAATGACCTAACCTATCACTGCAACATGCTGAAACTTTAGCAAAGTGTCCATGTGTTATGTAAAAACCCAAGACTATTTTGGTGCAGTGATACATAGGACTAGTTAATACCTTCAGCCAAATTTAAGAGTATTTCTTCTTTGGAAACATTTACAATGAAAAGGGAGACACACTGTAAGTGTAGTTGTGATGAATGTGGTTCCTCTTGTTCTGTGATATATAATTTAACACAGAGAATAATTTGTGTTTGTGGGAAATCTCAACATAAGATTTGGAACATGTTGCTATGATTAAGAACAAATAGATCACATTGATATTTCAGATCTAATAAATTCACTTAACTGAACAGACGGAGAAAAAGACATGGCCGTGGATTACAACTATATTTGCAACGATGCACGCTTGGCTTTAAGTTCTTCAAAACCTGGAAGACCAGGAACAGATCTGTTTCCAGGAATATTATATTCTCAAGTAAATTCAGCAGCACAGAATTATGACAGTCCCTGCCTTGGCTCCCCCTCTTTCTCAGTGTCACTACAGTGTAAATACTAAATCATACGACTAAAGGGCATAAGAAATTATTTCCAAATCTATGGCTCTGCCTAATTTGTAGTTATTATGTTATAAACCCAAGAAAGTAAGCTTAACTTTCATGATAAGAGAATTTGAAACACACATTATTTTTAACAGCTGCCTAACATCAGTTTAGTAATGATTTGTTCCATCAAGAAATCCTTAAAGTATTGGAACAAACAAAGTATTCACATGCAGAACTATTTTGAGGAATCTTTGTTTTCTTAAATTGAGCAATCATTTGAATTCAAATTCCAAAACAGTTTCTTAATTCTTTCTTGATCTTTTTTCAGTTAAACGTCATAGAAGGTTTCTTCAATGTTTTCCAGAAAGCTGCATTGCACCCTGGCCAAAGTGCCCCAGTGTAAAGAAAGAATCTGCTCAAAATAGTTTAGATGAATTTCAAGTTTGGCTTGTATTGGATGCCTTCAATATTGTCTTTAATCTAGCATCTATTTATAAGTAATTTATTGGTTCTGAAAATCTCTTGCACTTCAGAAATAAAGACAACCCTTCTTTGATTTCAGGTCTACACGATCATGCTCTTCACAGAGAAAATACAATTTTGGGGATGTCAGAAAAAATATTAATTTAATCTTCCTAAGCTTTTCCCTAACTCTGCTATTCTGTCAAACAGCTCATGAAAAATCTGTTAACTATAAGGAGATTTTGTTACCCTTGGTTACAGTGCTTCTGTGAGACCATTGATATCTGTCTGATGTATTTTCAGCAAAGATACATGGACTCTCCTTGTTTTATTTCAGGAGCCTCCTATATCACAGTCAATGAAAGACGAAAACAAAGTAGAGAAAACTATTTTGATTTTTCTTATGCTAGCCCGACTGGAAAGCAAATTGGTCTTTGTCACAATAAAGTCATTGCCACTTTATTTGTAAAGTCCCTTAGGCTTCTCTATGAGGGATCCCTTCTTTTTTGATACAGTTTTCAACTGTGACCACAAGAGTTACCTGACTTCTGAAAGTCTAGGAATTTATCTCTATTTCTTTATATTTCTGAGAAGTGTGATTTCTATTTATAACTTACAGAGCTGCTTACAGAGCTTGAAGACACTTAGCTTTTAATTAAAATACTTTCACATATTCATTTTCATGTACAAGTGATCTTACTGATGTCATGGCACAACTTAGCTACATTTAGTTAAGATCAGGTATCCACATACTTGGAGACTTATAAAATAGATTTTGCTGCCCTTGGAATCATCACATTGAATTACAAAAAGGCCCAGAAGGGACCTCAAGAAGTCTTCTGGTCCTTTACTTCCCCAGGGCCTTCATTCTTAGTTGCTTTTCTATAAATATCTTCATGTACATTCATTTCCCTAAGTCATGTCTTATGTCTTATTCCATTTTTCCTACATGCATAGCTCACAGGCTATCTTCAAAACCCTCCTTAATTTGGCAGTAATGTATGGCTGTAGCAAATGTACAGTTACCTACAGAATAGACAGGTATAAATTTACAGGAGGAAGGGGGAATGGGTATGGCTCCAGGATTATGTGATGATGGGAGATTTCTCATGACTTATTTTCAGCTCGTAGTACTTTTAGAAGGGTGTGGATTATTCTAAGAATAGGATTAAAGACATGAAAAGGTGGTATTTACAGGTACCTCAGTGAGCAGTGGTAAGCAGTTATGGCAGAAGAGCGGCACAGACAGAATAGCTCAGTAATATTTCCATCCATTTCCAGCAAATCTTGCAATATCTGGTTGAAGTTTTATTACTGATTTTAAAAGGAGGAATTCAAGTTCGATATAAGGAGGAAGTTCCTTACTGTGAGGGTGGTGAGGCACTGGAATGGGTTGCCTTAAGAAGTGGTAAATGCTCCATTCCTGGCAGTGTTCAAGGCCAGGTCGGACAGAGCCTTGGGCAACATGGTCTAGTGTGATGCATCCCTGCCCATGGCAGGAGGGTTGGAACCAGAGGATCTTAAGGTCCTTTCCAACCCAAACCATTCTATGATTATACTAATATTCCTATTCATGGGCAATATTTTGGATCAGTAAACCTTGTAAAAGGTGCTGTTCAAAAAGGGTCAATAGTTGAACATGATGTATAGAGTCACCACTGTAAGAAAAACTCAATCTATGGATTTAGTAGGCTAACAGGCAGACAGAGTAAATGAAGCTGTAGGAAGCTTTTGCAGGCGATCACTACTGAATACACCATTCAGGTACAGGTTACGTAATAATTTCAGCAGTTGCCAAAGTAATATGGAAATTAGGGTTAATATCTACTGTTGTAAGTATTCTTTTATCACATCCAGAAAGAAAGTATGTCAAACAGTTCCATTCTAGTCTTTCTTCTTGATACAAAATTTTGGAAATTCTAAGCTAAATAAAAGAACAGATGAGATTAGGGCTATATGCCATCAAAAGTACTTACTCTAAACCAAATTTTTACTTTCATTTATAGGATTGATTTCCATGAAGTTAAGTGTTTTACCCTTGCAGAGGAAAGGGTGATCACATGTTGATCTTTTTCATTTGTCTCAATTTCCACAACACTATGTAGGTGCCCTGATAGCTTCCCTGAAGGCTTACTATTAACAGCAGGATGCCACAAACGAAGATATTTCGTCAGCTGATTGGAGCTAGCCCAGCTAGAGCCGCAGCCGGCACGCTACAGCGACCGCGTGGTTCTACCGAGATTAGGAAAATCGGAGGGAATAGCGCAGAGGCATCGCGATTCCCGACATTTCCCGACGTTTCCTGATTCCCGAAGTCCCAGCAGGCCTTGCGAGAGAGTGGCTGACGTGGCGGGGGGCGTTCCCATGGTGACAGCGACCACCCCCTGCCCCTTGACTTGAAAGAGCCTTTGAGAGGGCAGTGACACGTCGCTGCGCACCAGGTGCAGGGAAGAACAGGTAGGTCGTTTTGCTGACCAGTATGGTCGTCTCCAGAAAGAGAGCTAACAGTAGGAGGACTGTAGCAACCCAGACAGAGACCCCGACCCTAACTGTGGCTTTTCAGGTCTCTGGATGCAGGGAGTGTCAGAGCCTGCTACTGCCGGGGGAGGGAGGACAGCATTCCACCTGTGTGAGGTGTGAGCAGGTAGAAGATCTGCTTAGCTTGGTGGCTAAACTTAAGGAGGAGGTTGAGACGCTGAGGAGCATCAGGGAGTGTGAAAGGGAGATTGACTGGTGGAGTAACTCCCTGGCTGGCCAGTTGGAACGGCTCCAGGGAGATACCCCCCAAAAGGGGATGGACCCCCTGCCCTCTCAGACAGAGGGGGGTGGCCCGAGACAGCCCCTGTCATGTAGCTGTCGCCCAGAGGTAGGGGACCAAAAAGATGATGAGGGATGGAAGCGAGTTCCGGTTCGGCGTCGTGGGCAGCCCTCCTCCCTTCCTGCCCCGCTTCCCCAGGTGACCCTCCGTAATAGGTTTGAGGCTCTGGATCTGGAAGGAGAGGTAGGTGAGGATGTGGTGCAAGGCCCGCCTACAAGGCCACACAGGAAAAAGCGGTCGACTTCGCACTTCAAGACTGCCTCTGATAGGAAAGAAAGAAGGGTCATTGTAGTAGGTGATTCCATTCTGAAAGGAACAGAGGGCCCGATATGCAGAGTTGGCCCTCATCATAGGGAAGTGTGTAGTCTGCCTGGAGCCCGGATCAGGGATATCACCAGGGCGCTCCCCAGCCTGGTGCACCCGACAGACTACTACCCGCTGCTGGTCTTCCAGACGGGTGAGGGGGAAGCTGCTTCCTGCAGTCTGAGGGGGATGAAGAAAGACTACAGGGCCTTGGGGCGGATGGTGAAAGACTCTGGGGCTCAGGTGATCTTCTCCTCACTCCTTCCATCTTCCATTGATGATGTGGGATGGAATGGGAAAATTCAGTCCATAAACGATTGGCTTCGAGGCTGGTGCTGCAGGCAGGGCTTTGGATTTTTTTATAACGGCTGGTTTTATAGGGCACCAGTCTGGACAATGGCATGTGGGAAAGGTTTATCTCACAGAGGCAAAAGGATGCTGGGGCACAAATTAGCACGGCTCATTTGGAGAGCTTTAAACTAGATTTGAAGGGGGATGGGGTTGTAGCTGGGCTTGCCTCAGTGGGACAGCGCTCCGGAATTGATGAAGACTGGGAGGCCTCCTATAATCCTAGGGTGAAATCGGTGTGCTCAGCTCGCTCCCTGAAATGTCTGTACACCAATGCGCGCAGCATGGGAAATAAGCAGGAGGAGCTAGAAACCTGTGTTAAGTCAGGAGATTATGACCTGGTGGCAATTACAGAGACGTGGTGGGACAGCTCACATGACTGGAATATAGTCATGGAGGGCTATGTTCTTTTCAGGAAAGACAGGCCAGCCAGGCGGGGTGGTGGGGTTGCTCTTTATGTGCGAGAGCAGCTACAGTGCGTTGAGTTCTGTCCGGGGACAGATGATGAGCGAGTTGAGAGTCTGTGGATGAGAATTAAGGGTCAGGCTGGCAGGGGCGATACTGTTGTGGGGGTCTGTTACAGGCCACCGGATCAGGGTGAGGAAGTTGACGAGGCCTTCTACAGGCAGCTGAGAGCGGCCTCACAGTCACAGGCCGTGGTCGTTGTGGGGGATTTTAACTTCCCTGATGTTTGCTGGAAGGACTACTGGGCAACCCAGTCGCAGTCCAGGAGGTTCCTCCAGTGTATGGATGATAACTTCCTCATGCAAATGGTGGATGAGCCAACCAGGAGAGGTGCGCTGCTGGATCTCATCCTCACTAACAAGGAGGGTCTGGTTGAAGGAGTGAAGGTTGAGGGCTGCCTTGGTTGCAGCGACCATGAGATGGTAGAATTCAGGACCTTCTGTGGTAGGGCCAGTAGAATAGCTAAGTAGAATTGCAACCCTGGACTTTAGCAGGGCAAACTTTGGCCTCTTCAAGCAATGGGCTAGGCTGCTTGAAGGTAAAGGGGCCCAAGATAGTTGGTTGACGTTCAAGGACTGCTTTTTCCGAGCTCAAGATCGGAGCATCCCGACACGTAGGAGGTCAAGGAAGAGGGTCAGGAGACCTGCGTGGCTAAATAGGGAATTGCTCGGTATGCTCAAGTGGAAGAGGAGAGTTTACAGGTCATGGAAGGAAGGGCTGGCCACTTGGGAGGAATATAAGGCTGCTGCTAGAGGATGTAGGAAAGCAGCTAGGATGACTAAGGCCTCCTTGGAATTAAAGCTGGTGAGAAGGGTCAAGGAAAACAGAAAGAGCTTTTTCAAATACATGGCAGATAAAACTAACACCAGAGGCAATGTAGGCCCGCTGATGAATGGGACGGGTGCCCTGGTGATAGAAGATACAAGAGATGGCAGAGTTACTGAATGCCTTCTTTGTATCTGTCTACTCTGCCGGAGGCAGTCCTGAAGAGCCCTGTACCGCTGAGACCTCAGATGAAGACAGGTCAATGGAGCAGTCTGCCTTAGTCGATGAGGAATGGGTTAGAGACCAGTTGAGCAATCTGGACATCCATAAATCCATGGGTCCAGATGGGATGCACCCGCGGGTGCTGAGGGAACTGGCAGAGGTCATTGCTAGACCGCTCTCCATCATCTTTACCAAGTCTTGGGAAACAGGAGAGGTGCCTGAGGACTGGAGGAAAGCAAATGTCACTCCCGTCTTCAAAAAGGGCAAGAAGGAGGACCCGGGTAACTATAGACCGGTTAGCCTCACCTCCATTCCTGGGAAAGTGATGGAACACCTTATCCTTGGTGCCATCTTAAGGCATATCAAGGATAAGAGGGTTATGAGGGGCAGTCAACATGCCTTCACCAAGGGGAAGTCATGCTTGACCAATCTTGTAGCCTTTTATGAGGAAATAACACGGTGGATGGATGATGGCAGAGCGGTGGATGTGGACTACCTCGACTTCAGCAAAGCGTTTGACACAGTCTCCCACAGCATCCTTGCAGCTAAATTGAGGAAGTGTGGTCTGGATGATTGGGTTGTGAGGTGGACTGTGAACTGGCTGAAGGAGAGAAGCCAGAGAGTTGTAGTCTATGGGGCGGAGTCTAGTTGGAGGCCTGTATCTAGTGGAGTGCCTCAAGGGTCAGTACTGGGACCAGTATTATTTAATATATTCATCAATGATTTAGATGAGGGAATTGAGTGTACTATCAGCAAGTTTGCTGATGACACTAAGCTGGGAGGGGTGGCCAACATGCCAGAAGGCTGTGCTGCCATTCAGCAAGACCTGGACAGGCTGGAGAGTTGGGCGGGGAATAACTTGATGAAATATAACAAGGGAAAGTGTAGAGTCGTGCATCTGGGCAGGAACAACCCCAGGTTCCAGTATAGGTTGGGGAACGACCTGTTAGAGAGCAGTGTAGGGGAGAGGGACCTGGGGGTCCTAGTGGACTACAGGGTGACCATGAGCTGACACTGTGCCCTTGTGGCCAAGAAGGCCAATGGCATCCTGGGGTGTATTAGAAGGGGGGTGGTTAGTAGGTCGAGAGAGGTCCTCCTTCCCCTCTACTCAGCCCTGGTGAGACCTCATCTGGAATATTGTGTCCAGTTCTGGGCCCCTCAGTTTAAGAAGGACAGGGACCTGCTGGAGAGAGTCCAGCGCAGGGCAACTGAGATGATTAAGGGAGTGGAGCATCTCCCTTATGAGGAAAGACTGAGGGAGCTGGGTCTCTATAGTTTGGAGGAGACTGAGGGGTGACCTTATTAGTGTATATAAATATATAAAGGGGGAGTGTCACGAGGATGGAGCCAGGCTCTTCTCAGTGGCAAACAATGATAGGACAAGGGGCAATGGGTACAAACTGGAACACAAGAGGTTCCACTTAAACTTGAGAAGAAACTTCTTCTCAGTGAGGGTGACAGAACACTGGAACAGGCTGCCCAGGGAGGTTGTGGAGTCTCCTTCTCTGGAGACATTCAAAACCCGCCTGGACATGTTCCTGTGTAACCTTATCTAGGTGTTCCTGCTCCGGCAGGGGGATTGGACTAGATGATCTTTTGAGGTCCCTTCCAATCTCTAACATACTGTGATACTGCGATATTTGTCATTACCTGAAAGGAAAAAAAAAAAAAGACTGAGTAGTCACTGGTATTACAAATAAGCTTTGTAATGGAGAGCTGTGTTGTTAAGTCTTTTGCTTCCATCACGTAGGCAATTCCCACATAAGGATGTGAATTCTCCATTCTAAGGGCTGGATTCCAGCTTATGTTTTCATTGCTTATCCCCAAACTTGTATGAAAAACACATAACTGACTTGTGTTTCAAAGTTTTTTTCATTTTGCCAGAGGAATGTCAGAGGCACAGGGTATGACTACAAGTGCTAGTCTCATAGAAGCAAAATACTTTATTAGAAATAAAACTGTGACTATGATTTTTTCCTTCAATGATCTAACTTAGAAGAAACATCAAAACACTTTTTGTGTCCACTTAGCCAGGAAAGGAAGGGACAACCACCTCTATGGAAGAGGGTGGGCATGCAGAACAGAGTGGGGAGCTGGCATGAAAGCTGAGGACGGGTACAAAACAATAGCCTCTGATGACTGATTTTGTGTCTTGGCAATCAGGTCTTTCATATTTATTTGTGTGTTCAAACATTAAATTTACCTACATTATAGAGAATAATCCTTGATTGCACTGTAAATGAATCTTTCTGTACTGGTTTTG